CTATGAATGAATTAGTTACTTGTTCCTACTGACAATCAATCCTACTGACAATCAATCAACACTGTGGAGAACGAGGGAGAAACACCTGGGTATTTTATGGGAAAAGAGAAATAAATTATGCCTTAAAATAATCATGTAAATGCTGGATACCTACAGATACTGTATTGGGAAAATTTGTCTTACTGTGTAATTAAACAGTAAAAAGGAAATAACAAGCACACATTGTATTGCAGACCCCATACCTTATTCTTGTCATGTAATTAAAATAATTACAATGGTAATTACTTTCTTAATCAAACATTAAAGATTATCCATGTTTGATGAAACTGAGAAAAAGTAAATAATATCAATAGTAATAGTGTTCTCTATTTCATATTTAGTAGAGCAGACACGTTGCTTTTGATTTTGATGAAACATTTTAAGTAATACAACAAATGGAAATGGCGTGGACAAACACACCGGGACTCTCTTTAAAGACAATTCACTGCAATCAATCCCTTTGTGGAGCTTTTAATGAGACTGCAGTCCTCAGCTGGTAGTTTGGTCCAGTCTTCTTCAGTAAACTGATCCAGTTCTCTCAGGTCTGATGATTGCCTTCGAGTTTCAGATGTTTTCGTTGATGTTCAGTTGGATTAAAATCAGGACTCATAACAGGCCACTTCAGAGCCCAGTGTTTTCTTCTCATCCATTCTTGGCTGCTTTTAGATGTATTGTTTTGGGTCATTAACCTGTTGGAGGAGCCATGACCTGCAGCTGAGACAGAGCTCTGACACTGGGCAGCATGTTTCTCTAGATCACCTTGGTGATCTGATTCCATCGTGTCCTGCACAGATTCAAGTCTCTCTGTGCCAGATGCAGCAAAGCAGCCCCATAACATAAATGAGCCTCCTCCATGTTTCACTGTGGGGATGGTGCTCCATCCTTTGAAAGCTTCATTTTTTCTTCCTTATCTCCTCAGACAACTTTCTTCTCTTCTTTCTCTTGTCCCTGTTCAGTGCACACTGTTTGATACCAAACAGCACAATGAGTATTTTTCTCCATTTCGACTGAATGACTGATTATAAGATTGAAGACACCTGTGATACTAATGGTAGTCTACTATCAACAGCAACGTTCTGCTGGAAATATCACTACAGTCCACTTATTTATAACCACTTCTAGGAGAACCAGTAATTTTATAAAGGCCATTTCAGAAGAAGTAAGAATTCTACTTTTTTTCTCAGCTTTGTTTTGGCCTTGGTTGACAATAGAAGTCTTTCTTTGCTGTGCACTGAGAACACCTACTCATCACGAGCTGCTGCTGCAGTGCTGGATGAAAATGCCTGCTATAGGGGCGAGTTTTCAAAAGCAATTTCTGGACTTGTCCTTGTTGCGCTGACAGTCATGAAAAAATTGAAAATTCATATCTATGTGTACAGATCAATAGATTAAAGTCCATGACTGTTTCACAAACTGCTGTGAGACTGGGTTGTTTAGCCACATGCTGTTATGATTAGACTTCACTCGCCTTTTTCTCCCCTTGTTTTCCCCCTCCCTAATGTGTTTTGTTTGTCGCCAGTCTGTTTCTGTGTCTGTGTGTCAGCTGGGCGTGGCCTCCTGGTTCCAGCTCCCTTCAGTTTTCATGTTCACCTGTTCTTCCTGATCTGTCAATCAACTCCTCACCCTGCAGCAGTGTTTAAGCCCAGCTCATCTCTTTATTCTCTGCCAGATCGTTCAGTCACGTTATGTGGTGTACAGACGCTGCAGCCAACCTCAGCTCCAAACCTGCCGCCTGCCACAACTGCCTCATCGTTTAGCCTGTTGTGCACGGCTTTATGGCTCCAGAAAAAGAAACACAAAACCTTTCCACCTTTTATAGACGTCTGTCATCTGGCGGCTAAGGTGATACATCTTTTGCAGCCAGTAGCAGTGAATATGCTAAACATGGCTATACACAAAGTCAGCTCCAGAGGTAGAGAGAAATGACCTGCTGTACTATTGCATCAAGTGACAGCACAGTATGGAAAATATTTGACATTTTTTCTGAGTCAGGAGCACTGGTGCACTAACTCTGCTTATTATATTTATAACATTAGAGTGTATAGAAATCCTGTTCTTTCTTCAGAATATAGCAGACACCATATTTATAATCAACAGAAATTCTTCCCTCCAAACATAAATTCCCTCCAAAGCAGTCAGATCTGCTCCTCTATGGCACCGATCCCCAAACTGAAACTCTAAAGGTCAAACACAGAGGCTTAGCAATGAACAGCCTTAAGCACACAGTAAGAGTGTGAATTGTCTGACCTTAAAACTGCTGTTTATTCCTGCAGTTTCAGAGGAAAACCATCCACAGCCCTCATAAAAACCCATGGCTAAGACCACATCACTGAAGCTAACAGCTAACTCTGCACTCTGAGCTGACTGGCTGGTTTCCTTCTTGAGGTCGGCTAAATGAAACATTTCCACTCATTACTTCTGCAATTTGTGCAATTTTAGGAACAAGAACTACTTTTCCTATTGTTCATCTCCTCATTAACTCTCAGCCATTTTCACAGCAACAACAACCCGTCTACAATGATTTGTGCGTTATAAGTTAAAATAGATTTGTTTTGTTGATATTTGTCATTTTGATGAACATCTGATCATATTTCAAGACAGCTTTACACATATATGCAGGTAATTCCAAAGAGTTTACAACTGCCTCTGTATTTGGAATAAATCCAAAATGTTTCATCATATTCTGCAGTTAACCTTTTTACCTCCAATTAAAATTTGATTATTGTTCCATAAGGGTGTTTGATGGGATATTAAAAAGTCCCAGTGGCCAACTTTATGCAGTTTATTCCACAATAAAGTGTTGTTAATAACTGGATGATCTTTCTGTTGTAGCAAGTTTGTGCCAAGTAGCTCAGATCAGGGAGAATTGATGACGGACATTTGTTTGTTTAAATCTCCTTGTGATGAATAAAAAATGATCTAAAACTGGTATTTATCTAACTGGGTTTTTTTTGGCCCATTTCCCAGTATGTCTGAGTTCAAAACGGGTCATACTCTGCTTTCTTGCGATACATAATTGGTATTTAGTGTTAATTATCTTATTCAGACCTGGTTTTATTTTGAGAGTATAAAGTTTCATGTATTTTAAATTGTTCTGTAATTTTTAATTTCTAATTAGCTGATTTCTTCTTGAGTAGATATTTGTAAGGATATTTAAACATCATCTATGGTATTGGAGCATGATCTGATTTAACTATATTGGAGCTAACAGAATAATCCAGTCATGAGAAATGAATGAGTACATTTTTCAAGATTTTTTAATCTTGAAATGTACTCAGATTTTAGTGTAACTATTATTGGTAAACAGGATTTTAGTCCAGTTCCTAATATGATTATGTTGATTATTTTGGCTTTGAATATGTTTCATCTTGGTCAAATGCAAAATAAAATAAAATAATAGCCCTTCTTTCCAATAAATTGCCCTTTACAAAGGGTTTGTAAGTTGTAAGTACGGTTGATATACAGTTGACTAATGCTGTGGCTAGTGGAAGGTGTGAAACCTATATTAATGGACTACCACCATTAATTACCATTGCCATATTACCATTTTCACAACCTGGCAACTCATAAGTTGTTCTTATTCATGTCTTATAAAGCAATCTTAATAACTTATTACTAATAAACAATTAATAAAAACCAGAGGTAGAAACTAACATTTGCTCAATTGTACAATCTTAAGAGATGTGAGTATATATTTTATAGGCTAACCATTTTTACGTCCTTTCAGAAGAAAATACTGTCCTTTTTTATTTGATGGCTATAGTTGTTAGTTAGTGTTCACATTGGGAGTTTACATGAAGATATCAGCTTTTTAAAATATGATGGATTGTTATGGATTAAATCACCCACATGTATAGTCTAGTTTCACCTAGACCTTTTACAACATTACAACACTGCTTACATGTTAATGCATCATTATTCTACAAGGGGTCAGTGACAGTGGGCACATGATGAGTACTTACTTTTACTTTTAAATACTTTAAAAACTGCATTTTGCTTTAGCTACTAGCCTGTTACTGAACTAATATCTTGTTATGGAGGACCTTATAAGCACTTTCAGGAAGATTTTAGGAAGAATAAGTCCCCACCCTCTCCAGTCTGCATCAGTGGAACTAAGGTTGATATCCTTAAGTCCTAAAAGTATCTGGGAATGCAACTGAATAAAGTCATTAAGAAGGAGGAGTCTGTTGTTTGTCTGAAGCTGCTCACAGTGGAGGAGGTTGAGGACAGAACTCAGGCTAAACTGCTGAAAATCATGGACAATGTCACCCCTCCCCTCCATAAAACTGGGGACAAACTAAAGAGCACATTCAGCAACAGACTCATACAACCCTGCTGCGTCAGGGAACGTCATAGAAAATCATTCCTGCCTACAGCAATCAGACTCTAATGCATCTCTATCATTCATCCAAACACCCTTGGACTTTGGTCCATATATATTATACTTTGGTCCACATATATATATTTATTTATTTATTTATTTACCTCTCATTTCTTTTGTACTTGATCCTGTGTATTTGCAGGAACCCACCGGGATCTATCTATCTAAAAATGATTTTCAGTTTAATGTATAGTACTCTATTTTTAGGCAGACATCTTAGAAAACTGGATAGAACATTGGGTCTTGTAAGATGAACTGTTGAAGGGCTGCTGCTGATGTTGGCCTGAGCAGGGACTTATTCCACACTGCTCCAGCAGCTCAGTGGACAGGAGAGTGGTCCACAACTGGACGGCTCGGTGACAGAGGGCCGAATAGTGTAGTGAGTATTTAAAAGTTGTTTATTAACACAAAACAACTTGAAGAGCAAAGCAAACTTTATACTCTATGTAGCATTGCATTCAAAACGCCACAAATATTTGCATGACGTTCATCACCGCACCAGTCGGACTATAACATTAATTTATTCAAGCAACCCTAAAATCTCGCGGTGCTACCATTCAGACATCTTGCATTTTATTAAGTCTGGTCTTGGAGAAATTTTCCTTTAACATACATTACATATGTGTGTGTGTATGTATACTTATATATATTCCACACAGACACAGGCTTTCGCTGGGTTGTTGGAATCCAGATTATTTTTAACCCTGCGTTAACGGATGTGAGGCGGTCGGACCGAGCCTTGCGTGCCAATCCCGCGGAGTTTAGACGGTCTCTCACGGGGGCTCTGTAGCCGTATTGTGCGTCATCTCCATCGCTGCCGTTCTGTTATTTTTCCTCCGTTGAGGCAACATGGCAACTCCCGCCGCGGTCAACCCGTCCGGTAAGTCAATATTCAGTCCGCCGGTGAAGACAGCGCCGGTACTAACACTAGCTAGAAAACAAAAAAAGAAGCAGGGTTTTGTTTAGACCGTTGCTGAAGAGGGTTTGAAGCGCCGACAGGCCGCCGGAGCCTGGCTCAAGCATCCATCCCCCTTCCCCCACCGAACCGCCGTTGACAACATAGCTATTCTTCACAGCTTATGTAGTACTACTTATGTGGTTGAATGTCAAAACGACTTGGTTGTATCATTTTATGCATTTATGCCCCTTTGTGGTTGTATTTTTGTTCCTGTTCATCTCCGTTAGGCTAGGCTAATGTGTTCGTTTCGCCGACCCTTTGCTTTCCTCACTCTGTGATACAAAAGGTTATTTTGCATATCGTTGCTCCACCGCATTGCCCTTCATATGTTATGTGTTACATCGGAGACATTTCAGCATTTGTTGTCATGAAAGAGAAGCAGGCTGACAGCGTCGTTTATATTTGTATTTCTCCGTCCATCGCCTGTTGATTCCTTACTGCATAGAAATGGTTTATAACGCTACATATATTCGCCCCGGGATGTACCGCTTTCATGCAAAAGCATATTTAAAAATACACCAATTTGACTATATGGCATTACCCATTGCCTTCATGTGCGTACAGGAAATAACATAACAAACATTTCATTCCTTTAAAGTCATTTTGCTATCCGGCATCTTCCCACTGTGACAGCGACCAATACATATTTGAATAATATCTAAACTTTGAGAAATGATACTCCTGTTGTTGGCTGAATCATTTACCTCAGAGGGAAGTGAGGAATTGTGGGAATCAGTTATAAAAGTTTGGATTGAATCGAAATACGTGGTCCTTGGTGGTTCACGTGTTTATCGATTTACCAGAAATCAATATTCAACAAATCATATGTGAAGCTCTATGTGCTTTGTGTGTTTCAGACTAAACAAAGGAAATATAAATTGTTATATTTTTAAATAGAGTTTGGTGTAGTGAGTTGATGATGGTCCTGATGGTGATTGCTCATATGAATTTACTGGAACAGGCTTGTACAGAGAAAAGCATGAATCTCAGTTAAATTTGTATTAATGTACCTTAATAGACAATAGACAGTGTAACTACAGTTAATTATGTTTAACCATCTTGCCATTAATACTTTGTTTCTAATGAGCTTGATAATTAGGCTGTATTCAAAAAAGCAGGTAATAATTTCAATATGGAGCCAGTGAACTGCCAGTGCAATAAATTAAATGAATTACAGATGAATTAAGTAGTCACTGTTAAAATGTCTTAAAGTTATCATTATTCAGCATTATATGGCTAATATTATCAGGAGTTGATGAGTATTTAGGTAAGAGAAAATAACACCCAAAGGATCAGTCCACATTGGGAAAGTGTGGCAAAGTAATTATTCCTGTGTAGAGGACAGAGTATCTGAGTTTCAGAGACCTCCATATGAAAACAGGTCAACCGTACTCTACCTCACGCTCTGTGTCACTTCATTGGCAATGTAAATGAAAATCGAATATAAATAAAGAATTCGCTGGTTATTAGCACCTTGGCTGCATACAGAGTGTTGAGATGAGGTGTTCTTAGAATGAACAATGAACAGATGAGAAAATAACCCTGTCAGATAACAGAAGGGCACAGTGAGAAGACGAAACATAATCCTGCCTCTTTCTATAGTTTAAAGACAAAGTGCTCTGTCAGTCACTTCAGAGGAGAGTCTTCTGTTTTATGGAAGCAGCACCAAACCCTCCAGGCCAGGCACAAACCTATTGCTTTAATTATTACCCCCTGCATGTTACGCTTGTTGTAATGTAGTGACCCACTCAGATGTTTGGCGGGAGCGTGCAGTGAGAGCTACGTGCAGCTCCTCTATCCAGTGATGACACCCAGTTAGAATTAACTCATGGCTAATGCTGCTGCTGCTGTTGCTGCTGTAGCCAGAGGAGGACAAAGTTAGCCTGATCTGTGATCAGCCTTACCGTTTCCGCTGGAATGGTAATAAGGTTAGGTGTGTTGACCTCAGACCAGATACCTAGGGTTGTGGGAACGCTGTGTCATTGAAGGATTATCTCCAGCTGGTCGTCACCCAGATCCAATTGGTGTAAGAGCATGTGAAACATGACAGGTGAAATGATCTAATGAGGGTTGCGTGTTTAGAGAGGAAAAAGATGATTTCAGGTTCATGAAATACAGATCAAACTGCAGCATGTAAAGAAAACTAAAGGTAGTGAAAGCCAGCAGGAAATGCTCAGTCAGTCTTGTTTCTTCTCTGAGCAGATTAATCTTCCTGATTTGAATTATAGTGTTGTCTTTGTCTCAAAGTCATTTTTACATGAATCAGTTTGTCAGTCAATAGAACATTAACACACAAACACATTGATCATTTTAATGTGCTGCTTTTTTCTGAATCCCTCTGACTTTGAGACTGTCGGTCAGTTAAACATTTCCTTGACTTCTGGGAAATTGTGATGGTCATTTAGGGTTTTTATCAATTTAATATTTCTTTGGGTCAAGTTCAGGTTTGTGCATTTTTACTCATCAAAGTTTGGAATAGAAATCAAAAAGGAAAAATGTTTTGATGCCAATGCCAATGTATATCTTTGAAAGGCTAAAACTGGCTGATATATCTAGTAGCATCTCTAGTAATAGGCTGCAATTACGGCAATTAAGAATTACCAACAATGCATATAAGATGATATTAATATATTGTCCGTGTTATTATTTTGGGCTATATTAACAATTTTCTGATGCGCATCATACCGGTGTGTGTTCAATTTTATGTAAATATAAACATGTAAACTGGTGATCCAAGTCGTTGGGCTGTGTTCCCTTGTTACGCATCGCATTAGACAAAACTCTTCAAATGTGTTAGAGAAATCATTTTCTTGGGATTATTTATTTGGACATTATTGAACATTGCAACAATCACAATGAAATGATTTCCAATAGATTATAAAAAACAGAAAAAGAAATACAACATTATAAGAGAGGTTTAAATAGACAGCTTAGTAATCGTTAAACAAGTAAAAATACAGTGGTGTCATGCTCCTAATTTTGCATCCAGTTCTTTAGTTTGCATTAAATTGGTTACTTTTTACTTTTTTACTTTTAATTAATTTTTTTATACATCATGGAGAAACTGCTAAGAGAATATGTCTGCGTGTTTTTTCTGTGTATTCCTTTTGGCGTATTAATTATCCTTTTTGAAAAGTAAACGTCCTGAGGCTGTTTGATAGACCTGGTGTTTGGGGAAAAGACATCTGGAGGGAAGAGAGGAGGAAAGAATGACAGGGAAGAGAGAGAATAGAAATAACCTTGTCTGAGGGAGAGCAGTGATTGAAAAGGAGAAAGTAGTAAACCAGTTCCCCCCTGGTCTCCCAACAGGCTTATTAATGCATTTGACCTCAGGGCTTTTAAGCTTTTGGCTGTCTGAATAATGTATGTGACTAAGTTAAAACCAGGCTTGTGATCAACTGTAGCTGCGTGTCTTTAAGATGCAGCACAAAAGGAAGCTGAAACACTTGCCATGCATTTTAAGAAATACAGGGATTGTCGACTTATCCAGTTATAGACCAGTGGAAGACTGTTGGCTCTGGTGCTCCATGCTAACACTTCACCATCATTTTGCTGAGTGACAGTGACACTAGGCAACTTTTTTGGTACTGGCAGCAAGCTGTGAGTATCTGAACCTGTCAGATAGAGGTGTGCCCTCTTTTATATGATTCATGGTCAAATTGGAAAAATTCTTAATGTTAGAGATGACACTGATTGCAATTTCCTTGACTGATTGTGATTTTGGCTGATTGTGATTTTCTAAGAACTACTAATCGACAGTTACTCAAACATTTTATAACTTTTCTTTAATGGACAATTCAATTGTATATTCCTAATAAAACATTGGCTATGAACTATTAAATAAATAGGTGAAGTGGTGGGCACCCTCTCTCTCTCTGTGGCACTGTCTTTGGCTGCTGCTTGAAATTGGACATGTTCAGCGGGGTCACTCCCAGTGAAGAACTTCCATGCTGACGACATGTTGTGTGTGTGTGTGTGTGTGTGTGTGTGTGTAGCTGTGTCTGTGCTGTTCTGTGCACAACGTGAACCATCGTGTGGCTTATGAGTGTAACTTGTGACCGGCACAGAATCAGATATCTGAGATCAGATTTGACTAGTGTTTTTGGAGCTTGTTTAGATGACATTAGAAAGGTGACAGGAAGTAACGGCGGGAATAGATGGTGGACGAAATGCAACAACATCCCCAGCTAAACCAAATGTCAAAATATTTAACATTTTACAGGAAAAACAGAGAAGAACTTAGTATTCAGATGTGCTTTTTTTCTTATTTGACACCTGCACGGGACAAGTAACACAGTGACACGTGAGATGAATTTGGAAATTGTACTTTTTTTGGCTGGAATGCAACAGCAGGGCCAGAACTATGTCAATGTCAGTGACTGAGTGATGAAGTTACACCACTGACTGTTGCTCTTTCAAAAGGAGTTGGTGCAAACAGTTTCTATTACATCATCAGGGGGCGTTTACAGGCTGTGTTGCCAACCTAGAGCCTGTATTGCAGGATTCACTGATTTTACAGACCCCTAGTAACAAATCTAGCGATTTATTTGGACAAAACTTAGCTGCTTTCCATAAAAGTTGCCAGTAGGGCTGCAGAATACGCAAAAAAAATCATATTGCGATTATTTTGGCAGATATTGTGATTTCAGTTGGAATGGTCTTTTTGCATTTCTGCATGATTTTTGTTGGGTCTTGTACCATACAAACATGTTTCTTAATGTCTGAAGAATATGATTTGTAGGCTGATGCGTCTCTGTAGCACCTGTACCGTAATCAAAAAACATCTGATTTGGATGGTGCATTTGGCCATATTGCAATTTTAATTATGTTTCGATTAATTGTGCAGCCCTAGTTGCCAGTATTGCCCCTCGAACATGAGGTAGACTTTCCCTCCAGAGGCACCTCTCTCTCATTCAATTGACTTATTTTTTAGAGTGTGTGTGTGCTGTTTCTGCCAGGCTGAATGACCACACTTATTGTTGGATGAAGCCGTCTCTTCATCAAATTATGCTAGTTTAGAGCCATGTGTTACTCATACCCACTTCATGAATGAATGATGGAACAGTGCTTCTTAGAAAGAAAGCCCCGCACCGCAGAGTGAGTGTGTGTTTCTCTGGAAGCGAAGACGAAGGCGGGAATGCATACTGTATCAAATATTAACTAAGTTACGCGGTGCACTGGGGCATACTGTAGGGTTTGTTTGGCCTATCCATTGCATCTGGCTGAATGAGTGAGTGAGTGAATAGAGTGGAGAGATGGAGGGGAAAACAGCAAGGCAAATAGAATGGATTTGTGGACGAGCGAGGGGAGAAATAATGCAGTGGCAGTGAGAGAGAAAGAGAGGGAAATATGAGAGGAAGATGGAAGCAGTGTAATTCCTCTCAGCCGTAATGACACACAGCATAGTGGCTTTAGATTGAATGGAACAGCGAGCACATATTTTACCGCCGTCATTACAGAGTAAAAGCTGATAAAAAGGCCTGTGCAAGAAAATGTGTGTGTGTGTTTCTTGAACATCATCAGATAGAATTTGGTGTCCAGGCTGCAAACTACAGTGACTAAGGATGGGGGAAAACATTGATTCACTTAAGTATTCTTGTTCTTATGATTTTTTAATTGGTGAGCCTCGTTAGCTGGTTGAACTGGTTAGCCTGACAGCATAGGCATGTGAACGAGAGAGCTCTTTGTTCAAACAGCAGCCGAAGGTCGCCGGTTTCCCTTTCACAGTGAATAAATCCTCATGTTTAATGGCGCCGCTGAACGGTAATGGTTAACTTTCTGCTAACTGTAAACAGCTAACTGCTAACTTGTTGTGTGAGCATCTGCTGACCGGAAGCTTCATGTTCACAGCAACTACATCAACTCATTGGGCCCAAGACGAGCTTGGGACTTCAGAATAAAAGCACGAGTGTCTCTGCTTTGATTCACTTTGTAATAACAGTACTTTACTTTATTGTAACAGTAGTGTATTTAACTTAATTACAACAGTACTTTAGTTTATAGCAATGGTGCTACTGAAATAAAAATCAGAAAAACTGAGTGGTAACATTGTTTTTGGAAATATGACTCATGATATACATTGTCTCTAGAAGTGCATGATTCTACTTTTTCCCATGGTCTAGTGTTAAAAAGTAAATAAAAATTGCAGTAAATCTAACAATCAAATAGTAAAAATTGCAATACATATCCAATCGGCACCCCAGTATTGTAGTAGTACGGAACTGGGAGATATAAGTGTGTACGTGGGTGATGTAAAGCCTACTAGTAATATTCTCTAGATGCCTGTATCACGCTTTGGTGGATTCAGTTGCCTTTCTGTTCTGTTGACACTGTTGAGTAAAGATTTTGTAGTAGCGACAAGATCATTCACTCCACACACAAACAACAAAGCTTTATTTATAACAAAGTTATCTTTACGTATTTATCTCACAACCTTAATTATACACAAGATATGCAGCCTCATGGTGTGTAGAGCCATGAGCGAGTGGCACGTAACATGAAGACACACAGTATGTTTTTTGTTTGTTAATGAATTTTAACTTGTCTGGTGGGCAAGTCAATTTCTCTGTCACTTGTTTTACAAACTTGTCCTGCAATAGCTGTCATGGTCTGCCCTGAAGGGACTCTTTCTTTGCTCTCCAGTTTACCTGTTTTGCAATGCTTAGTTTTTCTTGTCCAATTTTGATCTGTGGCCTCACCATCCAGTAAGTTTTTGGTTTGTTTTATTTTTGAATACATTTTTTTTTTTAATATCATATTACCGTAAATAGCAAACTCACAAAAACTGAAAAGCACAAAGACAAACTCAGGAACGCAGAGAAAAACTGTGATTTTAGATGTAAATCCCACTTCTTTTCACATCATATTTCATCTTTTAGTCATATTTTATAATGATAGTAATTTTGGATTACAGTTTATTTTGGCTGGGTTGTGGTTCCACATTTCTAAGTGTTTTTATTAACAGACAAAATTAACCCCATACTAGTGATTTCAGTTCAGAACTATGGACTCTGGCTTTCTCTATTTAATAGTGGAAAAGGCTGTTAACTCTACTGTTTGTTTGGCCGTAGAAATCTAAACCATTTACAAAACACATATGTTGTGTGACCTCTTAATGCCACAGTTTCATTGTCCTTCTCGCATCAATCTTTGTTGCATTTCCAACATGGTTCGTGTGGTTTTTTTCCCTCGTTTTGGCCCTGAACATGACAAGTACATTAGCCTCTTGGTGTATTCTAGAGTGACTTTGAATTATCAAGGTTGTTTTATTATCCAGCCGTACCAGTTCATGTGCAACAGTGTGGGCAGGCAGGAGATGAATGCAAAAGAGTGACAACACCAGCTCATCAAAACTGCACTGTGCAAGATGTGAAAATTTAACTTACCATTCATTGAAGAAGTGAGAACTGTAAATCATGATATCTCTAAATATAGTCATTGATTGTCACTGGTGATGTAAAACCTGCCTTTTTGAACACATTTCTAAGGTGTTGTGAATGATATTGCAATTATTTTGGCAGATGTGATTGTGGTGTGAGTCACAATTTCAGTTCAAATGATCGTTTCTGCATTTCATTTTCACAGAAATTTTTAAAATGATGATGATGTGACTTTTGTTGGTATCAAACAAACATGTTGCTTTACGTCTGGAGAGTATGATTTGTAGACCATAGTGTCTCTGTAGCACCACAACGCTTCTGGTGCTAACAATGCACAACAATGTGACGCATTTTACCTTCTTTGCAGCTCCTGTGATTTGGATATTGCACTCGGCCATATTGCGATCTTGATTATATTTGGATTAATTGTGCAGCCCTAGTTGTGAGTGAACCAGAGCAGCATGAGGTAATACAAAACAACAACAGCAGTGTCAGTAACTGTTTGCTGACAGAGAGCATCACTGAGTAAAGTAAGCAGAGCTGATGTCTTCACATCTATTTCAATATTCGTCAGGTGAAGCACGCCCTGGAGAGTTACTGCTGGTTGAAACCTGCATCTGAACTGTGACAGGCAGCCGTGTGCACGAAGACCGAAAACAAAACAATGTGAAACTGTACAGAAAATGTTTATATTTATAAAAATACTACACAGATACTACTGCTAACCCTGTGTTGGTTTACTGTTATTGTTGTATCCTACAGAGATGGGCAGTGAGTTGCCAGGGACAGTGGGGATGCCGGGAGCAGTTGGTGCTGGCCAGGTGAGGATGGGAGGAACCGTGCCAGGCCGCGGGGGCAAGAGGAGATCAGGAGGGTGAGTATCATCACTGCTGACCTGCTGTGGAAACTACCCACCACACATGTATTATCTACAGCAAAGGTTCAAAAACTTTTCATAGCATGCTCTGAAAATAACACCCAACAGTCCCCAGAAGCTGATGCAGTTTTGTTTTCGGGTTACCTGTCACTTTATCCACAGTTTTTACTTTCAGCCTTATTATAGCATTGCAGGGAACAAAATGTCAGTCATTCATATCATCCTGATGTGTGTGAAGCACCGAGAGAGCTTCATACTTAGCTAAACACAAATATTCCCGCTTGTGTGCTGTGTTGTGATTGGTTATTTTTATTGAATTTGTTACTAAACTTGTCATAGGTCCAATCAAAGGTGGTTCACATTGAGTGTATTGTGACCTGGTTGTATTGAAGGTGGCGTGAAATGTCCCAGAAGCTGTATTTGTTAAGAGAGAACAACAACCTGCTCTCAGCTTCACCATCTGTTCTTCCTCTGATCGGGCAGTTATTGGGCTCGTATACGTTGTATTTTCTTGCTTCATCCTGTCGCGACTGAAATATTTTGTCTGTTCAGGATGTTCCAAAATCATCAGGTCCTAAATTCTGGTTCTTGGAAATGAGCTTTTATGAGCTTTGTAGACACTAATGTCAGATCACAGGCATCCTGGCTCAGGTTATTAACGACCTGCCAGTGTTCTTTTATTCAGTAATCAGATTGGTGGTACCACCACAAAAGTACACTGTAAAACATCAAACATGACTGATCCTTCCCAGTAACTTCATGTAAATATTAAGTTTTGTTGATTTCAAATTAATTCAAATTCTGGTTTTCATTTTCAGACTTTTGAACTTATAAACATGAGTTGTTCTAACCTGAGGTCTTATAGTTAGTCGTTTTTAAATACTACTATCGTTCAATTTTTAAAGAAAAAAATTAACACATTTACAGACATCCCATCATGCATCGTTTGGGAGTTAAAACTCTATATACATGTATTTTTTGTACCTGAAGAACCCATTCATGATGGAAACTGTCTGTTTGTTTAATACATTAAATTAAGTCATGCTTGTTTCTTCTCATAAAAAAAATAGTGCTAACCACAATGAAAGTGTTGCATTTCGTCCCCGTAAACAAAGTCACTCCGAGCAATATTTAGAAAATATTAGTCTCATACCATGTGTATGTGTACAGGTGGTGATGGTTTAATGTGATGCTCTTCTGTCTCTTGACATCTTTCCTTTTATTGTCTAGCATTAACTGTCTAGTGCAGGTGAAATCCTGTACAGAAGTGTTACAGACGTTAAATGTTAATCAATATGAAATCAGTCTCTCTCTCTCTCTCTGTCTCTCTCTCTCTCTCCTTCCTTTTACCTCCATCATTCAGTCCTTACACTGGTCAGCTGCGGACACTTTGGGACTGCTGTTGCTGTCAGTGATCGTTGTTGGATTCCTGTTGTTCGTTTCTCGGAATCATGTCTACATTCTGACAATACCATTAGATCTATTTAGATCAGTTTACAGTTTCATACATCTTTTACTGTCTTTTTAGTGTTATGTGTCTTTCCAACATCACTCAACCTAATATTTGGCATGTTAGTGCACATTTTGACTAGAAAACTGCATTTAGTATGCAGGATGAACCCCAGATTTGGCCATTGCATGCTTGTGATAGTGATTTACAATGAAAAGTCTTTGTCTTTGTAGTGTAACATCTTTGTTCTTTGGTTTTTGTTAAAAGACCAAAAGGTGACATTTAAAACGCTGATACAGAGCTAGAACAAAAATGAGAAGTCATGATGGACATTAGAAAAGAAAACAGTAAATAAAAACGTTATTTATTTTCTGCAGGTCTATATGCTAAAAGGAACCTTTAAACTGCACTGCACAAAGTCCTTTTGTATTAACTGCTTTTTTCAATGCTTGCATATAGGTTTGAAGATGTGTATTTCTGTTCGTCTCTTTGTGGACTTCAGCATAAAATCTTTAGTGGAGGCTTTTAAATCACACCTGAATTTTCAAGTTTCAGTAACTGCATCAAGTCCATCAGCCAGGTTTTTGGCTGTGGCTGGGGATTTAGGTCAGACCCCAACCATGTGGAATGCGATACCTGCCAGTCCACATGAAGTTTTGGACAATCACATAACATATAGATTAATATGGAATAATGAAACTAATGATTATTTTCATTATTTTATCATCTAACTATTTTGGATTAACTGATTAATTTGGTCAATTAAACATAAATCCCTGTCACAATTTTCCAGAGTCCAAGGTTACATCTTCAGTCCTGCCAACAGGACAAACTCAAAGATATTTACTTTACAACTGTAAAGGACAAAGAACAAGCAACAGGAGCAGAGCCCACCGATCTATGTCTTTTAAGATGATAAAATCAGTGGGGATGTTTTCAGCTGCTCATCTTATGAAGAAGTGGTGTTAATGCACTTTTCCTCTGCTCGCCGGTGGAAAAAGAAAGTAAACTAAGTGATGCAACCCTTTTACTTTTGTGTTGGTGTTTCAGTTTGGAAGCAGAGCTTAAAAAATCAATTTCAATTCTGCATTTGTGTGGAAAGAACAATAAAGGAATGCGGTGGAAAAACATGGGGCTGCTTTAGACTTGGTATGTGTGTTTGTGTGTATGGGGGGTGCTGTACATGAGCTAAGTACCTTGTAAACCAGGGGCCAAAGCAATGCACTTAACCCATGCACAGGCAATAGGCCTACATAAACATGAATAAATAATACAGACCTGCATGTAGGCAGCATGGCAAATAAACCTGGCACAGGGAGGCAACAGGGACTGCTCATGTCTATTCCATTGTTGATTTATTTATTCAGCTGAGTGTGTATATGTACATGTCTCCGTATGTGTGGACAGAGTTGATGCAGACAGGGTGTTCTGCCTGAGCTCTCTGCATAACATTCACTCAGGCTGGCTTGGTTTCTTGGATTTGTTCATGTTGTGAAATCATTTGGTGATGGGCGCAGTGATGAGCAAAATCCAGCAAGGCTTGAACTTGCAAGCATTGTTAACATCGTGCAGTGTTTTTACATGGCCTTACTGTATGTATAGTCTCTGTTCTTCACTCAGCTGATTTAGGGGAGTAAGGAGTCCTAATTTTCCCAGCTAGATTTCTCTCTCATATACAACATACATGTAACTGGGTTTCTAATCAGATTTTTACTTGTTTACATGTGCATGACAAAAGGCTGCAGACAGGGAAAGTATCAGCTGAGTGCAGGATGAGACCTTATATTTAATGTATCTCCATCCAAAGCCCGACTGAGGCTGAAGATAATACCAAATAACCTCTAGAAGTCTAAAAAAGTTTCCACTGCAACATTTGACTTATTCAGACACATTGGTGATGTGAGAGACGGCTCTGCTCTGGAGTCTGCTCTGTCCGTGCATGTGATGCAGTCATCGTAGTTCAGTTGTTTTAGCTGGAGCAGTGGTGATGTCACTGCTGTGATATGTGGCAGAACTATTGAAAGCAGGTACCTTTCCACAGGAGCCCCTGTTACATTGTATTCTTGCTCTTTATTTTGAAGAGCTCTTAAGAATACTTTAACTCTTAAGAATATTTCAAATGAGGAGGAGTTATGGAAACCTTGGGTTCCATAAACCTCTCAACAAGTGGCTTCATAATAATAATGCAACCTGATGTGTATTTCTAAGAAAACATACATCAAGTCATGTATTTGGGGCAGAAAGCCTGGATGGCCTGATAACACACTAAGTATGCTCTCTCTTCCATCTCCATCACTCTTCTGTTTCCATTACAGTCAGGCTTGCAGTTCCGTTATTAGTCTGAACATTTGTACAGTTCAGCAACCCCCCAACACTGTTATACTGCCATGTTCTTTGTACAGCGTTGACACTGTTCTGCTAAGCAAAGTTTGATGATCTCAAAATGCTCCAAAGCCAAATAATACAATACAATACAATACTGTTCAGTGTAATGCATGCCTGCTCCTGAATTGCTGTTCTGTTTTCATCTGTACTCTGGCCACACTCGGTTGATTTCAAACCTTGTTTCACAGTGATGTGATTTCAGTGGTAGGACAATGACATGGCTCATCACCTGTGCCTGCGGTCCGTTGTTTGGTCTGTTGGTTTATTTGTCAGCAAACATAACTTTGTCACTTTGCAGCAGCAGAACCAAATGAGGAAAGACTTCACTGCTCCAAACTGATGTGTGCCGCTATCTCTGTGAATATACATACAGTAAAATATACATGTTTTACCAGAACACACAGGAGCTGTAGTCGTGAGAGAGCACTGTCAGCTCTCAGTCTAATAGAAGTAGTAACTGTGTTTTCTGTGGTTGTTTCTCAGAATGGACTTTGATGATGAAGACGGAGAGGGACCTAGCAAATTTTCAAGGTGAGAACAATGAAAGCCGGTAGCACTGACCCCCTGTGAAATGTCTAGAACTAGTTCACAAAGATCACACAGTTCCTGTTTCAGGGTATCCGCGGGTACGAAAAATTTGTGTTTAAATGAAAATTGTTGGATCCAATTTTTATTGCACTATTTGTATTCAAAAGTGGGTAAATACTAGTGTGCATGGTTCGATCAAACAGGAGCATCAGTTTTCCTTGGTTTTGAATTGGTCTTAGATTAGTTTCATCTTGCATTATAAAGGTCTTAACAAATTTGTCTTTGAGAACCCTGCAGATACCCTATGTTTGTAACATTTCCCTCCATCACCAATTCAATGTTTTGTTATGTTTCGTTTTTGAAAGAGAGACTCGAGTCTGTCTCTGTCACTACATCGCAACTGTCCTCTCACTTTTAATTTATCTCAACTTGTTTTTCCTTTTTCTTCCTTCTCGTATTGTGGAGTGTGTGCGTATGTAGGATGTACAGTAAGTGCTTTATTTCTGAGCTGACAACATGGCAGTGGATTTGTTTCTGCTCATTTGAGTGGTGACTGGTTTGGAGGAGGAGCTGCTCTCTGCTGAACACAGGAGGAACTGCACTCTTAATAATGGACAGCAGCATTACATGTATTATTTATCTGGCTACAGGGAAACTTTGTGTTTACACTGTACATACACTTTGTACATATCATATCCCCTTAAAATAGATCATTCACTGCTGTCTCCAATAGCCAGGGGCGTTAGTTCACCCTGCTGCTCAGTATGTGATATACAGTGACACACAGCTGCATGGAGACTGAATTGGAAAAGAAGGAAGAATTCACACAGTCCACAGTATTTTAGGGGTTTTTAGGGGAAGGGGCTGTGGTGCATTTTAAGGGATGTAACATCAGAAAGGTATGAAGACATCTGAGACGCACAAGTTCAGACACAACAGAACTCTTCTGTACAGTAACAGTGTGAAAACTCCAGAACATTTTAGTGTCCAATATTTAAAAAAAAACTTTAACTGCTCAAAGTCTGATTGGATTTTGATTAAATCCAGACACCAAAAGACACATAATTCTAACTTGGACATCTGGACTCCTGCAGTCATAGTTCAGTCCTGTCACAGTTGTTTGGGTGTCTGAATCGAAGCAGTCCAATTTTAGCAAGCTTTTTTTTTTTCAGATTTTTGATTGAGTTTGAGCAACTTAATAGTTTTAGGTTCATTTGGCACTTGAATTTTCTACCTGAATTTGTGAAGGCAAATGAATTGATTGAAATTTAAAATAAAATCAGTTTTCAAAATAAAACATTTCAATTTGAAATTGCAACATAACATATTCAGTAAAGGTTAGGTTTTACAGTTACAGGTATTCAGGTGCTCATGATATTCAAATTTCTTTTTGCGTCCACAGTCAGACAATCAGACAGGTTGTACACAAACCTGATTTTTTTAACTCAGGTATATAAACCAACATATCTACCTGGGTCAACAAATGTCCATTATGTTGTAATTGTCTGTTTCAGTGGGAAATAGGGATTTACCTGAGTGTTTGTTGTTGCCTCACTCACTTTACCATTGTAAAGCTGAGTGTAGGGAAGTCACCTGGTCCGGAGATGTCATTTAAGTTTGTGAGTTCATATAATATATATGAATATATATGAAGACCAACACTCTGAAAATAAAACCAAGAGTGTAAGAAAAGCGTCGTTGTGAATCAAGTCTTCACCCAGAGTAGAACAGAGCACTTTATCATTGACACCAGCCTGTTTTGTACCGTTTTGCTCATTTTGTTACCATCACACTTTGAACCATCGACTGTCATGCATTCATGAATATGTGACAAGCATTGCGTGTGAAGAATGTGGAGGTTGAAGCTGTTCTGTGATGCTTTTCATCTGTATATATGTGTACATGGCTTCACATGCTGTGTCCTCTCTTTTCTGCAGGTATGATGATGATCAGATTCCTGGTGGAGATAAGGAGAGATACGCCAGGTAGGCCTTGCCAGCTGGGGCCACAGAGGATTTTCCATTGACTCAGGGACCAACAGGCTGTACAACCTGCACACGTCACACCTGTTCTGATCCATACAAAGAGAAATACTGACAAGTGATTGTTGTGGAAATCTCAAAGAAAGATAAAGACTCATGCTTGTCTTTGTGGTTTTTATTCAACATAGCATTTGCAATTGGGCTCAGGACAAAGTGAGAGACTCAAAAAAAAAGAATAATCCAGTCTCTTATACTACAGCAAAGAAAGATGTGGGAGTATCCTCCCCTCGCTGGCAGCTGGTGGTTTCAGGGTGTACAAGCAGGTAGCTGTAAGTTCTCAGGTGTCAAAACCTGATATGTGGGGAAAGAATGCAGAACGAGAACTACTCCTTCACCTCATTCAAGGACAGTTCAGCAGGCATAAAGGATTAAATTGTCCCGTTACAATAAGAAGATAAGTTTCAAATACAATCACACAAAGTACACATTTTCCACTACAGTGATTCCAAAAAAAATATATATAGGTTTGTTAGAAATAACTTATTTGCCAGTAAGTGTTTATGATCAATATGAAAGTTCCTCTCAAACCAAAGAAACCTGTGATGACGGAGTAGTTTAGTCAACAGGTGTACAAATGACAATGTACTAACAACCTATTACATCACAGAAATGCAGCTATTTCCAACCAATTACATGGCAGTCCTTTAGGAATGGCCCACTTCCCAAAATAGGTGGAGTGAGGTTGTTTGAGTCAGCTAAACACACTCGATGATGTTGTTGTGGTATGATGTGTCAGGGGAATTGAGCACAGCACAGGAGAAATCTGTGTTGACACAGAAAACGACAGCTGTGAAACCTGCAGCTGAACCTGCTGCATCCTGCCTGATGGAGCTGCTCACAACTAGGAGAGTGTTGTTTGGATATTTCTCCTTGATAATTTTAATATTTGAGGAGAAACACATTTTCTGCTTTTGATGTATTTCCATTTATCTGACATGTAATTTTATTCACTTGTTTTTCCAATGTTGATGATTAAAGATTTCAGACAATGTACTGTCCCTTGTAAAGAATGAGATGTAATGGTGAAATCCTCCCTTTTCAGTTTAGACTAAAACACATCACAGGTTGCAGTTTAGGGACACTGACAAAAACCTACTATGAATTATGGTCATTATAGTATTGGAGAGAAATGATAATGAGATGCATCATAGCTGTTGATCGCTTGTTCAGACAAAGCTGGTTAGTGGTTTCCAGTCTGAACCCTTGACAGGTGTCTGATTGCCCTGCTCTCTGTTGCAGAGAGAACCACAGTGAGATTGAGCGACGCCGGCGCAACAAAATGACCCAGTACATCACTGAGCTTTCAGACATGGTCCCCACCTGCAGCGCCCTCGCCCGGAAACCTGATAAGCTGACCATCCTGCGTATGGCTGTGTCCCATATGAAATCCATGAGGGGCACCGGCAACACGTCCACTGACGGGGCCTATAAGCCCTCCTTCCTCACTGAGCAGGTACTGTACTGTCACAAGCCCAGAGCTTTGTCATAGAGGACATTTAATAAAAATACTTACGAATAATAACAAAATCAAAACACATTTCTAAAATGATGGATACTAAATTAAAGAAGGATTGCACCGGTATAGAAACAACTGTGTGGTAGATATAGCCCTTTAAACACATGAAGTGAAGCAAAACAATATTTTGTATTTTGTTGAAAATGACTTAATTGATGAATATAATACAAACATAGACTGTATATAAATCTGAGTTGGCTTCAATTGATTATAACAGAGACCACCTCCCAGGGCCGTGTCCTGATGTACCCTATGTGCCTTTCTGCTCCCTGTAGGAACTGAAACATCTGATTCTGGAGGCGGCCGACGGCTTCCTGTTTGTGGTTGCTGCGGAAACAGGCCGGGTGATCTACGTGTCGGACTCGGTGACGCCGGTGCTGAACCATCCCCAGTCAGAGTGGTTTGGCAGCACTCTGTATGAACAGGTCCACCCCGACGATGTGGACAAGCTGAGGGAACAGCTCAGTACCTCAGAAAACTCCATGACAGGTAGAGAAAGAGCTGCCTTCTCTTTCAGCTGAACACTTTACTTTTTATTGGCTTCTGATAGTGATTTGTTTACAAAAGGACCATTTACACCGCAAATGTACTCACTTTTTAAACAGAAAATACCAAAGCCTTTCCTTTGTCTGTCTGGTGTTACCATATACAGTACATATATACAGGGAGTTGCCTATTGTATGTCTATGCCAGGTTCAGGTGATTGTTCAGCAGTCTGCTCGTCTTTGGTTAACACAAGCTCAAGACATTTTCACCTTTTATTCTACTACATAAATACGTCAGTAAATACCAGAGCCCTGATTTCTTGAAGCTTTTAGGTCTATTCAAAAAGATTGGTTGCTAACAAGTGTCTAAATAAGACTACAGAGGTTGTCAGGGATGTTAAACATCATCACGTTGAACATGAAAACCGATCTACTCACCAGTCCACCTTTACAGCCTCGTTATGTTTATACAAACCGTCTCTAACCGTAAGAGGAAAAGCTTTTCTAGAAGAGGTCAGAGCTGAGTCAAAGTACAAGTTGAACTTTAGTGGTGGTGACGTGGAAGCCATGTGACCGTGGTGTAGTTGGTTTATAGCCTAACATTAGCTTTTTACTTCAGCTGATCGTATTTAAGCTTCAAACATCATTAAGAGGTGTTCATTCGTGAAGATAATTGTGCTGTAAAAAACGTGCAAGTATCACAAGGTTTTGTTCATCACAGAGCTTATTTTCTGCAGTAATCCAAAAGTCAGTGGAAAAAAAATTTCATTGGCTTTTTGTCAAGGGAACCAGAGTAATACTGATGCTACCTTCCTCACTGCAGCCCTCTATAGACCTTTTTCAGGTCAGACATTTTTAGAAGTCACACCAGGAAAACCACAGGCTGAAACAGCTATTATTAATGATGGCTCGGTTCCATCAAATGTCTCAGTGTAAAGTATGCTAATGTGCCAGGACCCTGGAACTAGTTCACTTCAAAGGAATGCAGTCGTATTTAACGTTAATGTTTCATCTGTACTTTTCCTGCTTGGACATACTAAAATGTCTGCTGTGAAAAGGATCTGCTACTGTCAAAACTACAGACAGCAAATTCTAATTTAATTGGTGTTAAGTAAAATGTGTAACTCTTATCACTTAACCATAATCTGTGATTCAGTTGTAGCCACATATTGTCATTCATTTCATGGTGGCAGCTCAACTCTTTTGTGGTTGAAGCTGTTGAAGTTGAAATGAGTTGCAAAAGCAGAGCAGACTAGTTTTCCCATGATGCACTGTGTAGGGTTACCCTCGCTGGCAGAGTTTTAAAGCAGTTTTTGGTGTCAGCACCCATTTGAACAAATGTTCATTCACACTGCTGTGAAGTGACCCTCCACCTTGTATTTAATGCTTGATGAGTCAAAATATTTCCCTCTCTGATGCGTTTAGTGAAACATGATCCACAGGCAGCTGATTAAATCACACAGGAGCCTTCAGTCTGTAACATTACCACCTTCATGAAGGTGGTAATGTTAAGTCTTTTTTGAAAGTGTCTTACGGAGGTGCTGAAGACAGAGAACAGTTGGAACTTTCATTTCTTTCTTCCTCTTTCATGTCGCACTGTCAATGTTATCTGCCTGATCAGAACACTGACTCTCCTCTAGTCCTTCATTCATACACACGGACTTGCCCTGTATTGAACATTTGTGAACCCACACCCACAGTGTCTGACTTTGAAAACAGCTGGCCCATATAGTTGCATTGGACACGGGGAACAGTGGTGCTTATGCTTCACTGGCCAAGTCTCATGTCAATTAATTGAAATGAATTTTAGAATTGTATTTTTGTGTCTCAGATTGAAGCAGTCAGATACCACAAGAGAGGGGCGAGAAAATGTCTAGTTCACCATGGCAACATAGCTTAGTAAATACACATAAGATTTTAGCTAATTCAGAAATCAACTTTTGAAAATTTAATATGGATTTGACTGAATGTCAAATTCTGATGTTAGAGACTTAAAAAGCTTGTTAACATCAAATACAAGTGTGATATGATGATGTCAGGGGAGTCTTCACATTACTGTAGGCCCAGAGGCCTGGATGTTTCGAGCTCCCCCCCCCCACACTGCCGCAAATAATCGGGTTGGGTTAACGACTTGGACAGAATAATGGATTTAAGTTTAAGTTAAATTGTGTTTGACATCGTCACAGGTTTTACTTGGTACATGGTTACTGGTGTTACTGTTCTTTCCTGTTTCTACAGTGTTTCTAGTAGTTTACAGTGGTGCACCATCAGTAAAGGTATGTGCATGGTTAGTACCGTTCCTCCAGTACAGTGCACCTGGTTATGTTTTAAAATATTATATTTTAATAATATTTTATAATAAAAATATTACTAGTTACTAATCTAGACTAGTACAGGTTACAATACTTTTTTCTGGCCAACAAATTTCCTGCATTTTTACACCACCTAAACTGTTGGATTATGTCAAGAAACAGTCACCTGCACAAGTCTAGATATCGATAAGAAAAGCAATGATGCATCAACAACAGTTTATAAGCGGTAGATCGGGACAGGAAGTGATTATTAAAAGAGTAGCTGTTTCATATTTGAAATTATATTCATAAAAACGTTATGTATCTAAAATGGTAGTAGGTTGCAGGCTACTATATCGTCCTTAAGGTCAAACAAGGACAAACAATTAATATAAATGAAACCGCCTCACATCACAGTATGATCTGGATAATGAAACCTGGTTAAACAATGTTAAACCTGATGGTTGTTATTCTCAACACTCATGGTCATTTTCAAAGTCTAACAACTGTAACAAAGTACAAACACTCTGGATTAATGGAACAACCATTCAATGCCACCTGTTTATTTTTTTGGAGTGGCAGCTGTTCTCATAGCTCCACTAGCTGCTGTAGTTGTAATGTTATACAGGAATGAATAATCGTAACTTCCACAGCAGATCATTTAACCGACATTATCTCAAATCAAAAACTATTTTAATGCAGACAAACTGTGCTCTGAAGTTCAGACTCTGTCCTGTGTGCACAGAAAGCTGATTTAACATATGTAATTATATTTCTTCATGAAGGAGTGGCTCTGAGGCTTCCTCTTGTTTGAAGTGAGATTTAACAGATTGATTTGAGAGAGATTAGAGTGTGTTGACATAATTAGTGATTAGGTACAATTACATTCAACCCAACCTAACCTAAAAACTTGGTATTGTGAATCATAAGAGAGTCTCCAAGCGAGACACAGAGCATCCATAGTAACCATGTGTGCGACCATAGTAACTCACTCACACACCTACTTGAGAGGAGAGGGAGAGACGCTGCTGCCAGAAGAGCTGCTGAGTCCTCTGAGCAGCATGAATGGGAATAAATGACAATACAACAGATTGTGGAGATTTCTCTCTTTCCCCCTGATGGTGTGAATAACTCGCTGCTGCTCTGTCTTATCTGCTCATGCACTGCAGTGTCATTTCATGCCGCAACGTTATCAGTTATGTATGTTTCTTATACCTGCACTGGAGTTTTAAGTGCAGCAGAGCATTTTGTGTCTTTTGTATGGTGATGACAGGCCTGTTGGAGTTGGGCCTCCAACCAACCAGAGGCCTCATGAGACAAATAAAACCGTTACGCTCATGTCTCAGTTTAACCAGTGTATGTCAAGATTCTTATACTGAAATCAAATGTAACTGAGAAAAAAATGGTAATTCTTAATATACAGACAAGCATTAGTCAGGACAGGCCCCACATGTGAAACCAGTTGTAGCTTCTGTAGCTTTAGATCTCAAACTCAGGCCCACTGGCCATGTTCTTTCCTCCCCACCAGTTTACTCTGAAGCATGGCAACTCATCCTCCCCACTCCTCTCCCTCCACACAGTCCTTCATGTTCAGTCAAGCTGTGTATTTGTATTTCTGGTGAACAGGAACGTCTCTTCTCGCTGATGAGACAGGAAGCAGTCTTATTAAAGTCCATGAAAATATCATGTGTCCACCTCTCTGCTCTCGGTTAAACTTTCTGTTCAGTTCGGAGACAGTTTGATGTCAGGTTCATGGTGGTAAATCAGAGTGGTGTATGTCCTTGCAAATGTGTTTAATCTGGCAAATTGTACAATTAAGTGCAGCTTGCTTTGTTAAAAGTAAAATAAAAAGCCAATGTTTGTTTCTGATTTAGCAGCTTTGCTAAAAAAAAAAATGTAGGTGATTTTAAAAATGTAAAATAAATGACCTGCTCTAAGAAAGGATGTTAATAAGCTGCATTTTGGAAAATTGAAGATACAGTCTTGTTATCATGTGACTCTCTCTCCTTCTCCATATCTTCCATGTTACATGATAATTCTAGATGCACCAGGCACTGAGGCATGTAAAATGTGAAATTGTGAGACATGCTCATTGTGCTCACTAGAGGGCAACACTGTCTTGTTAATCTCTTCCTCTCCATGCTGCTCTGGAGTCTCCACAGTATCTCAGTGGAGCGTCTGTGTTTGTATTTGTCTGTCAGTCTGTCCATCTGACCCCAGAGGCCCCTCTGAACCTCACTGAGCACCAAGCAGGGCCGTGAAATCCACATAACACAGTAATCTCCATGTAGAGCTGTGAGAGATGAAAATACACTCATGAGCATGCACCCATACACAAGCCCTTGATGAAGCCTTTGAAGTCCCAGCACTTCTCAGAGTTAAGTTTCATTCAGTGGAACCAAAGCAGTATGTTCTGGAGGCTCTCTGCTTCTTCTGCTGCTGCTCACTTTCTGAACTTTGTTGTGCCTGTTCAGGCACTGTGTGTTTTTCCAGTGTCCTGGTATGGAAGGACTGAACAACATAAATGAGCAAGAAGTGGAACAAGTGATTGTTTCCTGCATACCAGTTGTTGCTGTCTGTAATTCGCTCTGGAAATAATAAGTGACTTACTGTTTTGGAGTCTTTTGAGGGCATGAATGGTGTGGTGGTCTGTGCATTCCCTTAGCTAGTATTTTAGTATTTAATATTTGTTTATAATGTTCTCAAGCAGGCCATGTTCTCAGTTCAGGGGAAAACGCTTTGATGACATTATTTCGTGGCTTAGCAACTCTTTCAGGGGGAAACAGCCTGACTCTGTCCAAAGGTTAGGATATGCCTACCAACACCTCTAAAGCCAAGAATGTTATCTCCACTCTGAGTTGAAGGGTTGTTCATTCCCTTGTGTAAAAACAACATTGCTGTCAGTAATGTACAGTAAAATAAAAACACATGGGCAGACCAGCGCTAATGGCAGCCACTTTAGATGATACCTTTGATTCTACCACACGCACCGCAGCACATTTCATATGTGTCACAAATACACCCTTAGCCTATTTTAGACGTAGGCCACATCAAGTTGCACAGATCTGATCCACCCTGGCAGGAAGTCAGACACAGGAACGGCATGGAGCAATTTTCAAAATAAAACATCCTGTGCAGACTCCTGATCATATGTCACATCACTACATCAATCTCATAAATTACCAAAACAGCAAGTCAGCAAAATTAGGCGAAACACTCTTAAATGCTCCCGTTGGGGTGTGAAGCCATGCAGAGGAGGGAATCTTAGGTTATATAGCAGTGTTGTGTCATCTGAAGTCCTGTCCTGCTCGCCATAATTTACTGCAGAACTGCTCACACTCTGCACGAGCAGAAGAGATGATCCGTTTCAATGTTCCCATGAGAGCTGGATCAAGCACACAAGCGAAGGTGTGCGAGCAAAATAAGTAAAACAGAAAATAAACTTTATTTGGATCTTATTTCACTGGGTTTGCTGTTAATTATCATAAAAATATGGTATTCAAATGATGGCAGAGTGGTCAGCACGAACAAATAGAGGTCGGTTGCATGTACAGGCCAGAAAAAAAAAGAAAAGAAAGAAAAATTAAGGTGGTAGAACTATTTATTTTTACAGACATCCCTGTTTCTATCTGTAAGGCTAAGGCTGGTGATTTTGTAGATGTATTTATTGTCAACAAATCCCATGAAAGGTTTTATAAACAAGTACTGGCTGTGCATCCAAGACCTGATTTAGCTTATTCCTCTGAACCATAGAGCACCATTGTCGTCCAAAAACTATTAAACCAACGTCAGTGAGCCACACTGTTGCACTGATGGACAGACAGAGAGGTGAGACTGAGCCCGGCACGTCCCATTCATTGCTGAGCACCGACCTCAGTTTGCACCACCAATCTGTTAGGGGTGATCAATGTCTCTATCAGTTGATAGGGTAAAGTTAGTGTCAGCTGTCACCCTCAGTCTTCCCTCTCCGCACGTTTCCATTGTATTTCCTCTTCTGAATACTTTGGCTCATACATGTATGTCTCTATGAATCCATCACATCTCACAATTACTTCTTGAATGAATTTATTTGGATGTTTTGCTATTGCCACATAGCCAACGTTAGCATTAACAGCTGTTTATATAACAGTCTTGCCAAGACCTGCATTTACAAGATGAGGTTACAATACGTCCTCTGAGCAGTGCTACTTTTTCAGAGTAGCCTGGACGCTACAGTGACTTGGAATTGGAAAGTGAAAAGACGGACTGGTCGGACAGGAGCTAGCTGGTTAGCATGCTAACTCCAGTAAAGGTGATAGAAATAGAAGCAAAACAAGAAGGTTGCTTTCCACCTCTAGAGCCACCACATTTCTTCTAGACTGGTACGTAAACTTCTGTTAATGCTAACGCTGGCTATGTAGCAATAGCAAAACTTACAAATAGATCCTTTAAAGTCAACTCACCTAAAGATATCACTCCTACTAGTGATGCTGGGCTTTGGACTGAGGAGTTGCTCTCACGTCAGGTTTAAATCTTAAAGTGGAAATTGGAAGTACATGATGGAAGTGACTCAGTTGTTTTGGACCTCAGTCTGCTCTTGTTTGGTTTTATAAAAGTAAATGTTTTCTCACATATGTATGTAGAGCCAAATAAACTGAGTATCATTTTGGCATTGTGAAATCTGGACTTTTCCAAAGCCTCGTAGAACTGTGCCAGTGGGAGCTTCAGAGAGCATCATCACATAAATTCTGCTGTACGTCCTCTCTTACTCCTTCCACTTAAACAGATAACACAAACATGAACGTCGCTGACTGAGTGATTAAGTTACACCATTAGGGAGCTGAATGACGTGTGATACCATTCCACCAGTTGCATATTGGTCGACCTGCTGAGTGTTGAAATTTCCCCACTTGACCATTTCTTTTTCAAAATAAACTGGGACATCCAGTATTTACGTCATCAGAGCGTGTTTATAGGCAGTGTTGCCAACTTGTTGCTAGATTTACTTTGACATACTTAAACATATAAAGGAGAAAAACCTTTTAATGCCTAGCATGCAGAGTCATGTAGGTAGAAAATATCTTGAGTGAAAAGACCGTGTTTGTTTCCTGTGTTCTTTGGACAAATTGTCGATGATGTAATCTGGTCTGTTACGTGTTTACCATGGTCATTAGCCCTCTTTCCTCTATCTGCATCTGCTTGATCACGGTTGTGCGTTTGCATGTGAAGTTCTCTTCAGCTTCATATTTGTGAGATGCTGAGAATTCCTTTTCCATCTGGAAAGGATCAGTCCTGTTTTACTGATGATGGAGACTGATTGTGCAGGTTGTAGCACGTCAAGTCAAGCTGCTTCCCTTTTTTTTTTATTCTACATCCTGCACAAACTCAACCTCAATATAAACCCCAACCCAAACTACTCTTAACATGTGATCAAGGAAACAAAGATGCTCAGGGATCCTCATAGCAGTTTTTCTGAACCCCTAGGCAATCTTAATGTGTTTCTAATGTCTTATTACTGCTGTTCCTCTGTAAGGTTCTTTGAATTGCTCTGATTGAATTCACAAGAAGTCCCAGCTACGAAATGATTATGGATTATTATTAATTAAGTTTCACTGTCACCACCTCCATAAAGAAATATTGACAGTTTTAAAAATTGAACAACAAATCCAGACTTTGAGGCTCATTCTGAACTGTCTGTTGTTAAGACCTCAGTAGCTTTTCTCTGGCGGCTCTGGAGATCAGCTGTTTCTTCGGCCCTTCACAGGCCCTTCTCTTTTCATCTCTGTTTCAATGCCAGTAAATATGAGGAAATTACTGTGCACTTAGATCACACAAAAGACAGTTTGATGTTAGTCACAGTCTGATAAATGGAGCCCGTCACGGCCTTTTACTGAAGTTCATCAAAACACTGATATAATGCCTTTGATAAAATATCATACAATCATACTGATATGTGAACGAACACATTACCCTGAATAATTCATTTTAATATCTGAACAGATATGGGTACAGGAACAATATTTTTCAAACAACTGCACTTTATTGAAGTAAGAGACATGCTGTTGTCCATAGCAAGTTCTTGACAACCGCTGACCAAACTGCCATGACATGTGCTATGGATATGGTCCCTAGAAAATTACCTTTGACCTTATTAACCCTCATCTGATAGAAACCTTGAGTATGTGCTTAAACACATTGCGAGCTTGTACTTCAAAATATTTCATATCTATTGAATATATGTTTTTTTTATTTTTGGGGTAATAGCTTAAAATGCATCTATGAATTGTTTAGATGTGCACTGATGTGACTTTGTTCTTTACAACAGAGTATTAGGGCCACATTGAGGAAAAAAAAGAAATCAGAAATTTCGAGAATAAAGTCATAATATTATGATGTATTCTCAAATATAATATCATGGGTCATAATACTCGGTCGTAGCTCTTCCTGCTGACAGCAGTGTCAGAAGTTAATGGAACACGTCTGGAACTCATCCAGTTCTGATTATAAAAAATTAAACATCTAGATAAACTAACATTTACTGTTAGCTGTTACTCATGTTGTAACAGCTAATGTTCACTAATTACACCTCATGTTTCTAACACAATGAGTTAAACTCAAGCTCCCTCATCATATCAGGTGCTGACAGTCTTACACAATGAAGATCAGCCAATCTGACAATACAGAAAACCGGCCAGCTCTGACAAACAGGATACAGGACAAAAACAAGCACAGCTTTAGTTTTATGGCTTGCTGGACCGGACAGTGTTTTTTCCTTGTTTCATTCCCTTGTTTCAGATTCCACATGTCCGGAGGTGAAAAACAACTGTTGAGCTTTGATCATAGACTGAATGAATGTGTCTGCTTGAGTCAGCTTCATGAATACATACAGCACAGTTTTCTATTTCAGTTTTGCTAATAAAAATATAGATTATAAAAAGTAAGAGGTAACAGGCTGTTTGTTGTGAATCAGTCTTCACTGGCCTACATGATAATGTTATCTGTGCACTTGTGTTGCCCTGTTCTAATCTGAGCTGCTGTTTGTGTGTGAACAGGACGGATTCTGGACCTGAAGACGGGAACAGTGAAGAAGGAGGGACAGCAGTCCTCGATGAGAATGTGCATGGGCTCCCGGCGCTCCTTCATCTGCCGCATGAGGTGTGTGTGACTGTGTGACTAAGTGTGTTTTTATGCCTCAGTGTTGGTGACAGCCAGAGACATATTGTTTTCAGGTTGTCCATCCATCCCGTTCTCGTGGATGCAATATCTCTGTAACGCCTTGATGGAACTTCTTCAAATTTACCACAAACATTCACTAGGACCCAAGGATGAACTGATTAGAATGTGGTGGCCAAAGGTCAAAGGTCAATGTCGCTGTGACTCACAAAACACAGTTTCAACCTTGTAAATGCGATATCTCTGTAATGCCTTGAGGGATTTTTCTAACAATTTGGCACAAATGTGAACTTGGATTCAAGAATGAACAGATTCGATTTTGTCAGTCAAAGTGAAAGGTCAAGGTCATGGTGACCTCATGTTCTCGTGAATGCAATATATCAGGAACACCCAGAGTGGGTTTCATTACTTCTGGCACACTATGACTCACAAAACATGTTTTTGGCCATAAATCATAAATTCATTCAATTCAATACACTAATCGCATACAATACAATATACAATCATTTATACAGACAATAGTCATACAATAATTTAACTTAAAAAGGTCCAATAGGTCAAAGTTCAACTTCACTGTGACATCATAATGTTTTACAAAAACACTTCTGGCCATTATTCAACACTGTACCTCAGGAAGGAGAGACTGTGACCATATTTCCTGACACTTGGAGGAGGAGACAACCACGAGGAGGTGATTGTAGTTATTTCTGTATGTTGACTTGGTGTAGGTGTTTTTGAACTGACAAGCTGTTGAGCCGTTCGTCCAATGCTCAGCTGTCTCATGAGTGAAGTAAAGTGTTACATTATCTTGTGTTTTTGAGCTCGAGGCAGTAGATTTCCAAAACATCAACATGTTACATTAGTGTATTTCATTAATTTAACTTTAAAATGTTCTTTTTACACAAGAGATCCTGAAATGTTTGGTCCAAGGATTAGTGCAGTCACACATTTAATTGTAATAGTGTGACACTAGTTTTAATTTCAGACAGATGTTGTTTGTGAAACTGGTTTAATTTGTCTTTGTAAGCATTGCAATTCCTTCAAATCCATGTGTCTTCGTAAATCTTGCAGAAATTATGAGTATACTCCAGAGATGTAATTTTTCAGTGGTAATTATGACTCATTGTGTCAGTAATCGATTTAGATAATGACTCAGTAAAATTAATTAGATAGGGATAAACTGAAGCTTGTTGAAAACAAATGGAGCCTCTCACATAAGGTCACCTCTGCTCTGTAATCGTACATGGGAATTAATTGCCATGCAAGTGAGTGGAAATGGTACACAATGGTAAACAGTAGGGGTTCATGTAATGTGACGGGCAGTCAGCAGTATGTAGCTCACAAAGTGACAGCCATTAGACATTTACAAAGACTGCAGTGACACTTTTTTTTCTTTCAGCTACTTTCTACACAGAACATTGAAGAGTCCTGCTGAGCTGTTTCTCATTAGCCCCACAGACGCTTTTACAACAGTGTTTCATATGTGATTGATTGTGTTGTTCAGGCTATTAGTCCTGCAATTAATCATAATATGCAGGGTGAGCCACAGGCAGAGGAGGAAACTAGATGGAAGATACCAAGAGAGGTGAAACATAGTGTTGAACAGTAGGATCGAAATCAAAATTACAAAATGAACAAGAACATTTTAATGATAGGAACAAAAATAACAAAGAGACGTCCAAATCAAGTTCTTTTGGCCCCATTTCTGATCAGGGGTACACGGCTGGACAGGTCGCAGTTCTGTCTGACACATAGAGACTAACAACAATTCATTGATTCCTACGGGCAATATAAAGTCGCAAATTAACCTGCATGTCTTTGGATTGTGGGAGGATGTCGGAGTACCTGGAGGAAACCCACGGACACACGGAAATCATGCAAACTCCACACAGATAGCCAGCCAGCAGGTTTCGAAGCCAGGCTCACAGTGCGGTGACAGCGCTAACCACTGATATCTTGAGCCGTCATTTAAATGTTGATTAAAATACTGAAATACCAGATGTAGCTACTAAATCCAACACAATTAATATTTTTGCAGCCCCTTGAATACTGAAGGTCTTTGTTCAGAAATATTAAGTTTAGAAACTTTATTGATTCGAAATTTATTGATTTGATGTTAATTAAAGATAAAATGGGAGAATGCGACATGACGTGACCTGCTACTGGAAACAAGACCTGTCACTACAAACTACAAAAACACTCTGGACACTTTCATGGTGGCACGATAACCAGTGCAATCATTCTTTTCCTGACATGTTTCCTGTCTGTTTTTGTGTTTTTTTGTGCCAAACGCAGAAAACACGGTGCACAGGTGGGATAATAGGTGTAAACAGGTGGTGAGGTTCATTTAAGTGAGGCAGTTCAAAGTAAATTGTTGGTATTTTGGTGGAAACTGGGTCTTACATCATGTCTCCTCAGGAGGCATCGCATGAGTATCATGTTAGTTGAGCAAAACCAGCAGCACCATTGTCCATTTGTGTCTACACAGGATGTGTTCAGGACTCCAACACGCAATCACTGTAGTTACACATCTAAAACAGAAGACAATAGACTTGGAGTGTAAAAAATACTTTAGATAGGTAGATAGGTGGATTGCTCAAAGAAGGACTGTATCTGTTCCGTCAGACATGTGAGACGGAACGATTGAAAAAACACATCTGGAACACTTTCTGTGAAGACATGCCAGCAGACTTTGAGCTGAGAATAAAAGTGTCAGGATCACATTTGTTTCTGGTTCAGCTTCACTTTGCTGCCAGTCTAGTGGTTTTATCAACAAGAGAAAATTCAATAGTCATAGCAAATGCACAGCTATCAAGGAATAATGCTCAGGGTGTAAATAGACCACTTTAATTAATCACTCTGCAACCAGTAGAGTGAATGTTGAATGTGGTTGAAGCAGGAGTACTGGAAAAGCAATCTGCATTTTTCAATAAATTAATATGGGTGATTCTGACAGTGTGTTGTCCTTAGCTGCTGTGCGGTGTGTGGAAATTCATTAAATCCCTGCAGCCACCTGAAGGCAGCAGCACCGATGTGTTGATAAATCTGCAGCCTCTGATTTGAGAAGCGTCTTTTCATTTATTGAGCTGCTGTTACGCCTCCCTGGGACTGGCACAGGCGTTTATGAGCTACAGTATGAAATGAGTGACGTGACTGGCTGAGAGTATCTTCATTTATTACCACACTATGTGACCTACAGTGTATTCTCCTTCAACCAAAATAGCAGGTTCACTTTAACACAGCCATGTAGTACATGCGCCCAAGATGTAATACTTCACACTTGTCGTTGTGCTTGCCCAATTAAAGTAGCCCATAGTCCACTCGTAGTTGTACACTGATGTTACAAGTTGGAGGCTCCTCTCTCCTAAATGATCTTTGGCTGAGTACAGACATTGGCTTGCAGAGCGACAACTCATGTGTTATTTTGGCTTGTCATCAAGAAATAGCTGATCAGACGTTCCACTGGTGACATTAGTGATTATTTGCTTTCCCTTTTTTAATTGGGCAAGCACAACGACAAGTGTGAAGTATTACATCTTGGGCGCATGTACTGCATGGCTGTGTTAAAGTGAACCTGCTGTTTTGGTTGAAGGAGAATACACTGTAGGTCACATAGTGTGGTAATAAATGAAGATACTCTCAGCCAGTCACGTCACTCATTTCATACTGTAGCTCATAAACTCCTGTGCCAGTCCCAGGGAGGCGTAACAGCAGCTCAATGAATGAAACTGGGGCTCAGGAGGTAGAGCGCGTCGGTGGTTCGATCCCCGGCTCCTCCAGGCTGCATGTCGAAGTATCCTTGGGCAAGTTATTAAACCCCACATTGTATTGTATGACTGTGCGTATAAGTGTGATGTATGATTGTGAGTGAATAGGTGAATATGGCAAGTATTCTAAAGTGCTTTGAGTGGTCAATAAGATGAGAAAGGTGCTAAATAAGTGCAAGTCCATTCAATTATGCCGCCATGCCAGTGACAGCCAGACCTGTTTTCTGGTTGTCTGTCCCATTCTCATGGACGCAATATCTCAGTAACGCCTTGCCCGAACTTCTTCAAATTTTGCACAAACATTCACTTGGACTCAAGGATGAACTGATTAGATTTTGGTAAAAGATCAGTCTTCAAGGTCACAGTGATCTCATGTTCTTGTCAATGCAATATTTTAGGAACACTCAGAGGGAACGATAAAATTAAGTGATAATGTTTCACATCAAAAAGGTCAAAGATCAGCTTCACTGTGACATCATAATGTTCTGCAAAAACACTTCTGTGGGGGCAAACAATCACGAGGTGGTGATTTTAGTTAAGTTAATTTTAGTGAAAGTGATGATCAGTGCAAAAATAAGAAGCTGAATCTGAATTATTTTTACATTTCTCTTTGATAATTAGAAGTTCATTAGAGATAATGGACTTGTTAGCAACTGAGCTCAGAGAATCTCAACCCCAGTGTCTGAACTCCGTCACTCACTGCTGTGCCCAAATAATGTTTCACATTCACACACTTATTCATTCATACGTAGCAGAATCCTGCACTGTAGAGCCGGAATACAGTACAGGAAAGAAAAGATCAGAATTAACACTAGCTCAGGACATCTCTAGAGAAAGATGTATATAAAATAATCAAATTGATATTTTGTGAAACAAACTATTCCACTGTTCCACTGAAAAAATGTTTAACACATGTAAAACAAATACTTAAATTGCTAATTTTAATGATTTTTGATATATGCTTTTCTTATAAAATATAACACAGTGTTAGATCTTCTCCACCACAGCAGCCAACCAGCCTGAACATGGAACTTCCCATAACCCAAACTTTGGTATGAGACTGTTCTTTGTGTATTTTGCCACACAGGATGTTCCAGACAAATGTCATTAATAGACAGTAGCAACATCTGTTTTGTTGGTGAGTGAAGTAAATAATTGTGGGACAGACAACAATAGAAGAAGGAGTGTGTGATATAGTTATTGACATTTCACATTTACATATGTGGACATGAGATACATTACAACTTTATACTATATGTTAGGCCTGGGCAGTATGACATGAATGAATTAATTGCACATTTACCTTGGTAATAATTAATAAACAGTATCTTATTAAATACACTTGTCCACAAGATTGTCTGTCCTCACAGTGGCGCCATTATTAATTGTTTATACTGAAGAATTAAGAGAAAATCATGGATTATGAGTCATGTTTAAAACATTCAGTTGTTAAGAACACTTGTAAACATTTTTGCTACAATGGAGGAATTTAGTATTCTAAACTTCACATCACAAACTCTACAGCAAATTATTTAATTAGCAGCTTCTGATTAAGTGTTCAGGTGGTTAGTGAGACCAGGTAAAAAAGCCAAGCACTCAAAAACAGTAAAGCTCGAGCTAATTGAACTGTTCCAGAACCATCCCTTGACTAAAACTGCTCATATCTGAGTGGTAGATTACATCTGTGTGTTGTGCATCAAGCCGATGTGATTAAGCACTCTTGATCAAATGAGATGAATAGATGTCACCATGGCACTCATCACATCAGCCAGCTGGGCGACTCTAGCACTGACTACTTCCTCATGTATAAGACAGTACAATTTCCTGACCTCTCCTCCACACTTTCTAACTTTGCTGCACTCCAGGGATGCCGTTCAGCTGTCACCTGTCACAGCTGGAGAGCCATCAGTTGTAACTCCACACAGTTCCTCCCATGAGAGATGGACTTCATTGATGACATCTCTGACTTTTCCTGATGTCTCGTCTGTGAGGCTTTTCGAAATGGAAAAATCATCATCACGTCCTCGCAAAACAATTAGTATCTGTTCTTTGAATGAGTCAAATGCACATGCTTTGCCTGAAGCTTGACCTTTCAGACTTCTAGTCAAATTTTCACCAGACAACCAAGGTTCCTTGCAAGACTGACATTGTTAACCTCTGGCTCAGTGTCTCCAAGTTGTCATTTTGTCTGGGATCTCTTCTTTGCTACAGAAAAAAACAGCACAAACAATCAACACATACAGTACGCTAATAATCACACCTAGCAGCCACAATAGGAACTGCATTTTGATACTGTTCGCCGGCCTGATTTTCATTTAAAAATACCTCAAGGTGTCAGCTTGTTCAGGCTCATTAATGGTCAGCCACTAGTGGTCGTTCAGGAGCTTTTGATCATCTTCCTCAGCAGATGGAGTTTGCTAAGTTCTTTTGAAATTGTAGTTCAAATTTCTATTTTCCCTGAGAGCTTTAAATCTTTTTTAAAAAGTTGCTGACCTTGACAGAGCCTCACTTTTAAAGTTGATATGCTTGACTTGTCCACAAACAGCTGCTTTGACCACGTTCTATGGTGGCCCTGAGAGCTCAAAGCACTGCAGCTTAAGAAAACACATGCAAATAAACAAAACACAAACAACTTCAGAAAACATCTTCATCAGTTTGACAACACATGAGCTGCTAATACTCACAACACAACGGAAGTGTTTCCAGGGGACACTAAAAAGTGATTAACCTTGCTGGGACGCACTTCTCAATGCTTTTAACTCCAAAAGTCACATTGAAGTTATTTTTTGTTTTAATCCCCCTTAATGTTTTCTGAATTTGTTTGTGGTTTGTCTATTTGCACATGCTTTCTAAGTTGCAGTGCTTTGAGCTCATTCTGACAAATGTAAGCCCTGCGTGAAAAAATGCAGCCCTCTCATTCATTAGAATGGAGCCAGCCTTGTGGTGCAGTGGGGTGACAATACATGAGGCTCTAAACAAAACAACATGGGTTTTGCCAGAAAACAAGTAACTGTTATAAATGGTTGCCACTGTGATTTCCAGATCCTTTCTGTGAGGATTACAAACTGAAAGGATCCAGCTGGACGTCCTGGTTAGTGTTCCATTTAACACCCCCCCCCCCCAATGAAGCCCTCTGCATTGTTATTGAATGCGCGGTTGTTTTCGGTCTGAATCGCTGCTTTTTTACACATTCAGCAGACACAGACCAACATGATGATTCATTTGGAGTCATGGGGAGGGTGAGTCCAGTATTCCCTCTCTTTTAGCTCTGTCTTTGGTCTCTACCAAGTCCTGAGGGAAATATCAAGCTCTGTAGCTGTTGACCAGCAGGTTACGAATGGTGTGTGCTAGGGCTGCATGATATGCAATAAGCATCATATTTTGGCAGATGTTGCGAATGTGATTTCAGTTGGAATGATTGTTTTTGCATTTCATTTTCACTGAAAAAAACGATGATGTGATTTTTGTTGCATCTTGTACCAAGCGAACACGTTCCTTTACGCATAGAGAATATAATTTGAAGGCCGGGCTTTTCTCTGTAGCATTACAACACTAATTTGACACATTTTACCTTAATCAAAAAAAATTGCAGCTCCTGCAGTTTGGATGGTGCACTTGGCCATATTGCGATCTTGATTATATTTCGATTAATTGTGCAGCCCTAGTGTCTGCTGTTTGGTGCTGAGCAGTGCTGAGGCTTTTTTTTTTTTTTTACTGAAAAGAGCGATGACAAGAATTGATAGAGTTCAAATGTGCTTGACATCAAAATAGTTGTTCTGTAACAGTGGCTTTTAACCCAGACGGTATATGACTCATACCTGCTATTTAAGTTGAGACGTTCATGGAGCCATAACCCATTTCACACCACATAACCCTCAAGCCATATGCTTTCTCTCCTGACATAATAACATAAATAACTTTACTCCTCAGAGATTGTTGGTTAAATGACTGATGTCTCCATACACTCATTAATTAGACTCAGCAGGCCTGCAGTCTATATTCTAATAATTGTTTCCATCTGTTGGACATCACTTCATCTCTATCCCGTAGCTTCTGACCCTTAACAAACCCAGTTTCTTGCTAAATTTGACTCTTTCCTTTTCTCTATGTCATCATATCAGGCAGTTTGCCCCACAGCCCTCATTACTTATTTTCTACAAACTACATCAAAGCAGCTTTGGCTGTTTCAAGGGCTTGCAAGAGCTCATGTTTAGTTTAACAGAGTAACACACCTTTTTCACTTTGTTTCAGATACAGTGTGGTTGCATTAATACCAGAGAGTGTAGAATCATCAGGGGCTCCTGTGGCCTTGTTTTGTCTGGATTTGTCACAAAGGCCTGCAAGTCACACGAGAGCCACTCTGTGTAATGTTGTAAAGTATTTGTTGGACTGGCACATCCTTTTTGTTCTGTTGCTATTCCAGGCCCTGAATAATTCAAACAACATGCTGCTGGCTCAGTCTGAAAGAGAGGGAAGGCAAGTGGTGAAACGCAACCACTTCTGTGACACATACATAAACACTGGCTGAGAGGAACACAGCATGATGAGTAGACTAACATTTCAGGGAAGCCATTATTAGATCCAGGCAGGCTTATGTAATGTTCAGACACAAGACTGGCCTGAACATGGAAAAACTCCCGCGGGCTGTATACCGCTGGCCTCAAGGAAACTCAGCTGCCTCCAGTGTTATTATGTGTCTATTATTTGGTGTTGTAACTGTCACCACTACTAAACAAACCCTAATTCAGCAAGCACTTTATTAGGAACACCACACTACCACTGGGTAGTTCCTCCCTTTGCCCTCAAACGTCTCAATTCCTCATGTCATGGATTCCACAAAATGTTGAAACTTTCCTCTGAGACTCTGCTCCATGTTGACGTGACTGTATCACATCATTTCTGCAGATTTGTCATGCTGCCAATCTCCTGTTCTACCACATCCCCAAAGGTGTTCTACTGCAGCGGGCTCCAACAGGTGGCTCACAAGCTCCCAGCAGTTCACCCAAAGGTTCAGAGGAAATAATCTGTACAACCCATGGACGTACAGTTCAAACTTTAAGCAACACAACTTCACTCAGTAAATCTGCTCCATATGAACTAAATCAAATACATAGATATCAGCAACAATACTCGGATAGACTGTGACAAGGCCCAAAATGCATCAAGAAAAAGTTCCCCACACCATCACACCACCACCACCAGCCTCAAATGTTGACACGAGACATGCTGGGTTTGTGGATTCAAGAGCCTGTTTTTGTGTTTTGACAGTACAGAAACAAAATCTGGTTTAATTCCTGTAAACGGCAAAAGCACCACCAGAGAAAATTGACAACTGCAACTGGCCTCGACACTGCAGTGTGTGTTTCTCAGATCAAATGAGAAAATGTGAATCGTATTAATGCAACAGAAGACAAAGTTGCAGCACAAAGAAAAGGAAATAGAATGGAACACAAATGGAACCAAAGAGACCAGCTGAGGGCTTTGAAAAAACATTTTCTCAATTGAACAGTGCAACATGTTTTGTAAGAACTGTCTTCAAGCTGCAAAATATCACAAACATTTCAATAAAATGAGGCTCATGTGACAATGATTGTAACAATACATGGTGGATATCGTTTGTCAAGCAGCTGTGTACTTTACAACAGCTTGACTGTGTGCTGCCCCCTACTGTGATTAACTGAGCTCATGTACCACTGAGTGTAACGTATGCTGTTGTCTTTGTGTTGTATTTGTGTGCAGGTGTGGCAGTGCTCCTCTGGATCACATCTCCCTAAACCGTCTGTCTAACATGAGGAAGAGATACAGGTATAGGATCTTCTTTTTCTAACCATGGTTCTGATCCACTGTAATGTTTTTCTGCCCCACCCTCTGTATGTCTCCCATGCATCCCATGACATTCTATCCTCCCGCAATCCCCCTCCATCATTTTCCCTTACATTGAACTAGTCATTCATTTCAGCTGCTAAAACACAGACCAGAGAATAGAATAGTTGATTAAATTGTTAATATGCTCATCTCTTTAATTATTACCTGTGTTCATGGCAAATAAGCTTTACAAATGAGCAGGAAGTGCTTCAGTGCTTTTTTTGCCCTGGGGGGTTTGCCTCTCAGGCAACAACTGGCTGCCCTAATCGTTCTCTATAGGTGCGGGTTTTAGGAGCACATGCAACCTGACAGGAAGATCTGCACACACTATTTAGGACTTGAAAAAATAAATAATTTTCAACTTGAAAATATGTAATTATAATATGTTCTATAAAGATGCTCGATTTGAAAATCATTGGAAGATAAGGCAGTGCAGCACACTTCTCTTTGAAGTAAAGATACAAGATTATCTTTTCATTAAGTGTCAGGTATCTGTCAGTAAAGCTAAGTGTGATTTTAAGATGCATTAATAATACAGCAGTTTATATAACATATCTAATTCTTCTGTTACACTACCATTTTAATGTACAGTAATAACCTGTTTCACTGTATTGCCATATTGTGCTCTATGTTGGATGTAACATTATATACAGTGGGGTCCAAAATGGAAAAGTGGTCTCAGACTTTTGGACCGCGTTGCATTCACATGAATAGCATATAAACAGCACATCCCCCTCCTCCCTGTTTTGAAACCAGACCTACAATAGCTACATTACCTGAAATAAGCCCCATATATGTTATTCTCATTATATTCATCTATTGATTCATCTATTCATCTATTGGTCCTTGTATTGAACCCTGTATCATGATCAACACATTAAAGTAAATGTTTCAGCAGCGCAGGGTTAAATACACAGAGCTAGACTGAATTATTGTAATGATTAGTACAAAGACAGTGAAATCAATTTAATAAACCACAAAAAAAAGATGATTCTTTCATGTCAGATCAGCTTTTAAAGAGGAGATAATAACCCCTGCTAAACCACAATAATCAGGCAATTAGTCTAGTCAATTTTCATCCAGGCTTTCAGTGTAGGAGATATATCCAGCAAAATGTTTTACATACAGCATGTGAGCAAATAGAGAGGACGGCAGGTCTGGAGAGATAAGGGGAGAAACAGAGGCTGGAGCCAGGGTAAAGGGAACAGGAGCAGATAATGACAGCTTTTAAGATTTTTGCTTTTTAATTGTCCTTTTTTTTTTTCGTACAGGACCAACAACCACTACTGCAGAATTTCCTTATTTAAAAACAATATGTAATAGGGCACATTGAGTATTACGGCCCATTTCTTGCCAATAAATTTCTCATTTTTCATCACAGACACCAACTTTTCATTCATCCCTTTCTTCCACCTTCACCTACTCAACCAGTTTGTAAAGAAAAATCATGTAATATTCAAGTGACCTCCCGTTATATTTTCACTATTGATTTACACCTGGTCCATTAACAGTTACACAGCTTTTATTTAGACTCAGTGTAATTGTTTGTTGTTGTAATGCAGAACAGTAGACCGGTCAATTTCAACCTCTGACACAAGCCACACCCACTTCCAGTACAATATTTTCTGACATAAGTGGTAAATGAACTCACACACACATCCATACACTGAAGGACCAGCCATCAGAGGCAATTTGAGGCTGGAGGATGTGGACTGGAGGAGCTGGGGATCAAACCGCCGACCCTCTGAGTAGCGGATGACCACAGTCCACAGATGTAGATAGAGAAAGTAGCGTTTTGTTACACCTTTAACATACAGTATGTAAAGGTGATTATAAGCCTAAAAGTCATGATTTAAACAGAGATGAAGCCAACAATGTTAACCACTAAAACAGAGTCTAAATTTCAAAATGCTTTCATTGGAAACAGCTGGTGTCCATATTAGTATTTTCAGGTAGTTTTTACAGAGATCTCTGTACACAGTGAAGCACCTGTTTATCAAATCTCTTCTTCACCCTCATTTCACACGGTGAAAAACAAAACGTACCACAGCTAACATTTGGTGAGGAGTGGAACACACAGTGCAAATGATTATTTCATGCTCAGAATATCATCTGACAACAATTGCAGGTTGACAACAACAGCTGTTTGGTACCACGGCTATATCATTTAAATGAATTACAGGAAAGGTTAGAGCTGAGAGATAGTTACAGCTACACACAGCCAGTTATTCTGCCAAGTGACTGCCAGTTAGACCTCTGTTCACTGCTGCTCTCTGGTCACCTATTGTGTTGCAATGCAGTCAAATTTACAATAAAGGTTTTCTCATTTACATATTTTTGTTTTTGTTGACTTCTTACCAAGGACAAAATATGACTTATACTACATTATTACAATTATTACTACATAAATTACACATTAACCAGCAGTTATTCTGTGTTGATAAAATCTTCCTTTTATAACTGAACTCTGTATTTTCTCCCCCCTCCGCTTTAGGGAGAGAAAGACACTGTTTTTATTCTCTGAAACAAAGAAAGATGCATTTTCACTAATTTAGCCAGCTTAACATGGACATACCCTAAATGTATGAGAAAGCCTGTATTGTATTTTAAGCTCCTCCACAGCTGAAGTATATAACACGCCGCTGCGTCTGTGTTTGATCGACAGGAATGGCCTTGGACCCTCAAAAGAAGGAGAAGCTCAGTACTCTGTGGTGCACTGCACTGGCTACATCAAAGCCTGGCCCCCTGCAGGTTTGTACACATCTTCAACTTGATGCTCTTGTCTCTATCCCTTCTTAACCCAAACTTCACCTCGCTGCATGAGTCCCAGAGTTAGTGTGGCCTGGTCTAACCTAAAGCAGCTGCGGGCTCTGCACAGCTCTGGATCAGAACCACACAAGCTGTTCAATCACAACAGGCTCTGGTATCCCGTGAGTGAGTGGAGCCGCATGTTTCAGAGTGGCTGTAAAATGTATGTAGTTTGCTCCTCCATACAGCAGCTGTGGTCAGCCAGAATACAGATTTGTTACAGTGCATTTCAGTACTGACACTGTTTCACTGTGAGATAGGATAATAATTATATAATAATATAATAATTCTCAAAGCTCACTTGTAGTCCAACCATCACTGACCTGCAGACAGAAATCCAAACCTACTGAAGCCCTGGACTAAATAACAGTGTTCATTTTCTTAACTGATTCACTACTTAATTACTTGTCTCACTGTTTCGGGGTTAAATGAATCTAAATCTAAACAAATTTAAGTTAAGTCAGTTTGTGTGGAACCTCCTTGAAGATTTAGTGTAAGTGTCACGTTAGCAGGAGTAACTGAACCCAAATGCAGACAACACAAAGAGGTATAGGTGGGAAAAAGGGACTTTTAATAACTAAAGAAAACTTACAAAACTGATGAAACCGCAGAGAATTCAAAATCCAAAATGAAGGTAAACAAACTGGGGTACATCAGGATTTGAACAGGTTGACAACAGATGGACTGACAAAGACAAGAGGGAGCACAGACACTAAATACACACCAGGGAGGCAAGGGTGATTGAACATAATAGGGCGGGGCAGACAATCAACAAGGAGGGAAACACAAGAAAAGAAGTAGAAACACAGTGGACACACAAGGAACTCTACTAGAAAATAAAACAAGAAATGAATCAAAAAGTGTCCTTCAGGGCAAACTGTGACAGTAAGTCTGGTGATATTCGATATTTTTCTATTTGTCCACAAATCCCATGAAAAGATTCAAACTGATCCAACTAACAAGTACTGTGTGTATCCAAAGCCTGATATAGCTTATTCCTCTGTGCCGCAGAGCTCCACTGTTGTCCAAACACTATAAAAAACACATCAGCGTTCCTTCATTACCATAACCACACACACATACACACACACTGTAGTTTATTTTCAGTAAGTTCCACATTGATTGGGATCACACGCCCAGAAATAAATGCGTATAACCCATCGCTGAAAATAGTCCCTGCACATCTTTCTCCTGTTTGACTAATGTTTGCTAAAAAATGGAGCCACTAACTGTTTCAAAAATTTATTGGGCCTTTTTTTGGATTGAAACTATATATCTGTATCTGTGAGCCACTTTTGAAGACTTGAGCTGGATTTCTACTCTGTATGTATGTAAATGCATGTTGGATGGTTGGAAACCCCCTTCCACCACACCTTCCTCATGTGTTGTGACATGTGTTGTCCATTTCCTGTAACTTACCAAAACTAACATTCACATGCATGTCATGCTGTGATTGGCCAGCTGTGTGGAGGTGAGAGGAGTCAGGCATTGTCCTTGTTTCTCTAACTCTCTTTTCACATGTTACTCAACTATCTGTGACACTTTTCACGCAAACAACTAAGTACAACAATATGAATCCTGGGCAGACTGTCTGGAGATATGCACCATTCCCCCTGTTCTTAAACAACACACAATCCCTCCTCTCCGTCATGACCAGTACTTCACTCCACCTTCCAGCGTGAACAAGTATTAACACATTTGTTTGTCTGTCTCTCCACCCTACATATTCCATATGTATGGGGACTGACTCCCATGGGGGCAGCTGACATGGATACTCTTTAAGACACATCACCTGTGGTGGCCATGCCTGATTAGCAGCACGTGGTTTCTTTATGCACCACAAATGTGTGGCCTCATCGATCCCTTAATTCCAACAGTCAAGCAGTCAGACGTGTTTGTAGGAATGGGTTAGTGTGTGTGTTTGACATCAGCATTTTGTGCTTAGCTTGTAAGTATGGGGCTTGGTCCATGGGTCCTCTGTGGATCGCTCCATTGTCTTTCAACATAGGCTGGCAGCCTGTGGTATCGGCTTTACTAGTCTGCTCACTTTGCCCCTGTCCCACGTGAAATCCGACCTAGTCAGAGGAAGCTTGCTTCTCAACTGATTGCTGTTCCACCATGGCTGAAGTGTGGCAGCACCATCGCCCACAGTCGTTATCCCTCATTGAGTCTGACCTCTGATGACACCCAGCACCATACACAAACCTCTCAGCCGATATCTTTGCCCGCTACTTTGCTGATAAGGTGTCAACCATCAGCTGCCAATTCTCTGAACCGCTCAGACACAACCAGTTGTAAGTTAAGGGCACAGCACTCCGACCGCTTTCATGCCTTTCTCTGCCTCCTCCGATCAATAGTTCACCTCTAGCTGAGTGGAAGCCTCCAAAAAGTGTAACATGTAGTCGTCCTACATCCACCCCAGTCTCCTCATCTCCTCTCTCATTCACCCCTCTCACTGAGAACGATGTGTCAAAACTTATTCCATATGGAATATGTAGAATGGAGATATAGCCTTGACATGCTAGACAACAGGAGGTTACATGTGTAACCCAGGTTCTCTGAGCGGAGAGACTGTCACTCCAGCTAAAAGCCACTCAAGTTTCCAATCAAGGTTCACTGAAGAGGCCACGAATGTGTGGTGCTTATATAATCACATGCTGGTAATCCGTGCGTGGCCACCATAGATGAGGTCCTCATACGTATGGAATATGTAGGGTGGAGAGGTAATCGCTCCACTCAGAGAACCTGGGTTACATATGTAACCTTATGATTTCTGACATAGCCAGACAGAACGTCTTTAGAGCTAGTTCTGAGAGACCATACCAATCCTTACATCTTCAGTAGGAACCAGGGGCTTGGACCTGAGAGTCACAAAATATTAAGAGATGGACTAACACACTGTTAGTTTTGGTCTTTTCATGGGAGTCATTGCCCTTAAGAAAAACTAGAATAAATTTATTTTTTTAAGAAGAATTTAAGAAGAATCTACTGACTACTAAGTACAGCATTAGTTTTAACTTTCAGTTGTCTTTTTACCTGTTATATATTGCATGCTAATATAAGCAAAGTCTCAGCCTCATACTGTGTATCAGTATAACACCGGCTCCGAGAACACACAAAGCCTCAGATGCACTCACTGACTTCGAGACACACACACACATACACACACGCACGCCATGTTTACAAAGACAATGATTGAAATGCACCCCCTCTGTCTCAGACCAGGTGTGTACGTGGCTGTTGTGGTAAAGTCGGATGGTGGAAATGAACCACATGAAGTAAAACACAACTAAATCCCCTCTCAGAACTTTGAGGTCACGCTGGAGTATTTCCAGGAATAACACAAACACACATACACACACACACCACATGTATTTTGAAATCATTGACACATGGTTCACTTCCTCACACTAAAAATACTCCTGTGGAATATTTTGGACACAATACTGCTGGCAAACAATCATCAGGCGAGACACACGCACATATGCTCATAAATCGCAGATGGACAGCAGAGAGATGCTCTATAGACACAGATATGTTGCACATTCACAACCAATACAATGGCCGCCAACTGAACTGTGTTAGAGAAATGGAATGTAGCCACAAGTGAGGACAGAGTCTTGGTTTTGTTTTGTGCTGAGCGGAGCTGAGGGAGGCTCATCTCTTTCAACTGTGTGATGAACAGCCATCTCCAACTGGAAAGGAATTTCAGCAAAATAAAACGCAGAGATTACTTCAAAATTAAAAAGCACCAAGTCATTCTGGATGTGATTACAGACCTGTTGTATATTTTTATAGACTCCTCCTCGTGGACTGCGGATGTTCCTCGGTATCTCTGAGATCATCCAGACAAGGATTAGTATAAAGTTGTTATAATCTGGGTTAAAAATCATTTGACAGAATGTTTATATTATCATGAAGATGCTGTGATGCGTTTTTCCATGGATCCACATGTATTTTTGAGGTAGTGGGTGGTGTTAATGGGGTATTCCAGTCATAAATCAAAAATTCCTTCCTGGTCCGTCTCTGGTGTCTGGTATGGATTATTTTATGTTCTTGGGCCTAAAGAGAAAACAGACATGTAATTATGTGAATCCTCCGGAGTAAGAGAGTAAAAGCAGTTCTACATAAGAAAGTAGATACAAAGTTAGAGAATTCAACTCATATTCTGTTTATTGTCATTTATAAACATGTTGCAGTCAAATCAGTTTAGCAGAGTTGTCTTGTGACTGTACGGAAATATTAAATGTTCATAGTTTCTTCAATTTAAACAACAAAATATTCCAGGCATGTTAATTCTACCACGTCCAGCCATTTAGTACTACACTTCAAAAAAGTTGTGGAACTTAAAGCTAAAAAAGGAACTGCAGAAGGTGAGATGTTCTGACTGTTAGTTCAATGCACACCCTGCAGTTCTTCATCTAGTCTGAACACCAGAGTTAACTAATTAACAGACAGTTCATTGATTAATTGACAGTTAATGATTTTTGCAAAGTTATGGAACTACATTTGTAAACATTTCACTGGAAGGCTTTTACTTTGAAAGGCAGCTACATTGTTGAGTTTGCATTACCATTAATGCAATTTAAAAGTGCCCTGTGGTGTTCTCTTGTAAACAAAGTACTATTTACATTCAGTGTTTCTCACCAAAACTCAGTGTGTGTATCTTTGATCCTTGATCTTTGAACAAACATGATTAAAACATTTTCTTCCTTGTAAAACATTGGATGAAGCCTTTAGCTGGTTCAGTACAATGTTGCTTGGCACCACCTATAGATCAGGGAAACAGCATGAAACTTAAGGCATCAATGTACATCAGTTTCTGTATGCATGACCCACTCATAAAGCCGTTGTCCGGTAGTGTTACTGCACGTAATATCTTAACCCACTAATAGTACCACAACAGTAGACACTGTTCGTAGCTGCAGTTTTATTGATAATTT